GAAGCTGCAGTACTTAAGCAATCATTCTGACTGGCTGCCAAGCCACTTAATCAATTACACACATTTTAAATAAAAGCTGTCTAACTTACAAGAACTACATCATCTAAATTGTCTGTCCAAAATTGCAAGTAGAAAGATGTGCCTTTATTCTCATAATGCACAGAGGAAGAGGTGAGAAACTCCACAGAGAATCAGCTTGCTCTTCGAGGTCATGTAATCCTACTGCAGGCAATGGGATTTTTACTAATTGCAGAAAAATTGGAGATACACCACATTACATTTCTGCAATATCCAACCACAAAACTGCTAAAAAAAATGAATGCCAAGCAACTTGGGAAAATTATCAGTAATAAAAGCTGAAGATAGAGAATAGATCTACTCGAGGCTTAGATTAATACAAACAATGGAAGTGATAAATCAGAGATTCCATCCTTTCAGGGCTCAAGAGGTTAGAAAGGGGTAGAAACACAAAACCCCCAGGCTTTCCAAAGAGTCAGAGAGTGTGGGGTGCAGGAAGGTCCAGAGCCAGGGGCTGGCAACGAAAATGCTTTGGCTACCGCTTTTTGTATTGGGGCAGAAATGAAATGAAGGTGTGGCAAGTAACTGGAAGTCCTGTTGGCATCCTGACAAATAAAGACACACGTCTAGGAATGACGTGCCACCCTGCTCTCCTGTCGGAATACTTTCATTAACTGTGCACAATGGGTCGGATCTGAAATTTTTCATTTAACTTCAGTCAAAAGGGCTACAACTTAAAAAAAATACACTGGATAATAGCCATAATGCTATGAAACAGCTTTGGAATTAAAATGGCAGTTGCCTGTAGAAACACTAATTAGCAAGAATGAATTTTTCAACTTTTGTGCCTTGGGTTCTTTACAGATATTGCTGTATTTAATGCAATGTCACTACATTACATTTGTTTATCTACAACATACAGCACCACGATTTGACATCTTAATACACTAGCTCGGAATTCAGTGAAAGTGGATTTTTTTTTTTTTGCTTGCTTGCTTGAATGAGCAGCAATAACACATAGCTTTCTCTGAACACTCAAATGGCATCTTCTCCTGACCTGATGTTCCTCTTCCAGTCAATTATTTGCCCCGGTTTAGAGGGGCACAGAGCTGCCAGCAGGGAAAGA